TGAGGGAATTAGTTCGGGCAAGAGGGCAGATTGTTTTCTTTTTTTTTTAAAGGTGCGTGTAAGAAAGGTTTGCCTGTAGTTTGGGTCAGATACCCTTAAAAAGCCCATTTCTGTCCCTTGAACTACTTGAGAAATTTCTTCTACGTGCTATTATTGCAAGCTAATTGTGTGAGCAGTTCCTCTAGAGAAGGGGAAAGGGTGTTTCCTGAAAGGAAGGGAATGGACACCCTTTGTGGTATCTGCAGTGATGCTGAACAGCTGAGATCTGTTGGCGGCCTTCCAGCCTTAGGGCTTGTGCAAAAACTGTTGTTTTGCTGGAGAAAGGCTGTCTCCGGAATGTCTTGCCTCAGCTGATTCTTGATTCACCTCTCTGACCTGTCTTCCTGAGGCTGGGCAGATGTCAGGGTAATCTAATACTGCCATGCTTACTTGGGACACTTAAAGCTGATCTTCAAAAAGAACAGGCCTCTCACCAGAGTGATTGCTTTCTAGCTGTAACACAGATAGTGCTGTTGTGCAAACTCTGACTGGTTTCTCTGTGGGTAAAGGAAAGGCTGAGGAGGGCTGAAGTTTTACAAGTTGTGCTTCTGTCTTCGCTTAAGCAAAATTACTTAGTGAAGAAACAATAACCCCTGAAAACCGGAAGCTTACTAATGGGTAACTTAAGGCAATAACATTAGTTTCTGCATGTTATTGAACTACATTTCTTAAAAACCAGGACGGGTTATGGAGGTGAACTGTCTTTTGAACATCATGATGATAGCAAATTTTCATACAGTTCTGGTAAAATTTCAGTTTTTAGGGAGTTACGCCAATATCCTCAATTGTGGCTAAGCTTGTGCTAGATTAACCGTCTCCTAACCTTTTTGTTTTGAAAAAGAACACATTTCTTGTGATGGCAGGCAGGCTTGTGATCAAGCTTAAGCTACCTGTATGAAAGAGGTTTTAAACTTTAGCCTCTGGAAAAGTTGCCGTGTAGCCTGCTTTTCCGTGGCTTTGATTCCTTTTTGTAGCACGAACTTCCTATGTACTCTCTTTAAATCTCTGCAAAGGCAACCATTTTTTTCCTCTGCCTGTTCTTTCAGAGTACACCAAAGCAGCATAAGTGAGGCCTCCGGGTACCTCTGTATTTGACCATAATGCAGTGCCTGCTGGTTGTAGCTGTTTTAAGTAACAGGAAAAGAAAATACTTTATGAATAAGGAGATTATTTATCTGCTGGCTTTTGAGCAGGGAGGGAGGCTACTTTTTATCGGCACTCATAAGCCTGTAATTGCAGTCAGAAGGCATAGATTCTAAGTAGTATCTCAGCCTAGAGCAATCAGACACTGAGGCTCACAGTAAAATACCATCCGTAGCCAGGTCTGTTATGATCCTGCATGGACAACTAGTGAGCTGGTATATCCAAGGAACTGCTTCAAGGACTGAAGCCAGTGAATGCTTCTTGCTGTTCACATGCCAAAGTGCAGCTGCTATTCCCAGTGCTAAATTTACCTCTGAAACAAACTGGCTGCATCTTTCTTGTGTGAAGCAGAGTACTACAAGTACTTGGTTTTGGGGAGCTACTGCAAAGTAAATCCTGCTGTGATATATTTTAGTGTTACTGATTATGGTACATACTGTATCCAAAGCTCTGGATAGTAGACTGGCACCTTGTATCAGGCATTGTGCAAAAATAGTGGATGGAGGCTGTTTGTTCTTAAGGAATGTATTTTCTCAGTGCTCTTACGTCTACAGGGTTCTTCAGTTGAACTGTGTTTGCAGCGAAGCTTATGGTTGTTTAAGTATGTGACAATAAATTAAATGCGATGCAACTTACATATCCATGATAGTGGGTTGCACAGATTAGTTTAAGTGTCTGCCAACATAGTTTGGTTGGCATAATGCCTTGTATCCTCCTCATGAAAGAACTGTTGTCTAGAGCTGGCAGATGACAGTGTCATGACAGACAGTAGTATCTCCTCAGTTTGCAGAAGAACTTTTCCAACTGCAAACATTCTGATACCGAGTTGTGTAAAATGTAGAGGCAAGATTAAAGGATCAAACATGAAAAAGTGATGCAAGGAGAGCAAGAGAAATGGGATGAAGCAGATAGGAACACACCAGAGGGAGGTTCTGAAGTTGACAGCTGCTTGATAAGTCTGTTTTAATTAAAAAAAAAAATCTTTGAAGAATGTTATTCAAAGTCATTGAATAAATTGGACCATAGTTGGGAAACAGTGTTTTCATGGTTCATTTAAAAGTCAGGAAGCAGAGGATGAGCATCTGCCCTTTGCAGTGAGGAGAAAGCAGGGCAGGTGCTGGACTCCCACAGGAAAAGAGGGGGGAAAACAGTGAAAGGATGAACGTTGCTGATGACAGGTAGTTGTTCAGAATGGTGAAAACCAGGGTCCACTGAGGAATTCAAGAGCACAAAGACTGCTGGTGAGAATTTCTCTGCCACACTACTGCCCAGTGTAGAAAAATCTGACTTGGTTATGATCTCTGAGCTGAATGTTGCAACTCAGAAATAGGATTTTAGTGCTTTGGTGCTTGGGTGATAACATCAGCTTACCTGCATGCTTTCAGGGAAGCTGAGGACTACTTTATGGAGTAAAAAATTATTATGATGTTGTCAAATACCTGCACTTCCTGAGCCAGCATGTTTTTCCTGAATGTGAGTGACAGCTAAAAGTGTTTCTGTGGGAATTCTTGCCATGTCATTACTTTTTCTAATGCGCATCTGTTAATGGCAAGTGTTGGAGATGGGATGAATATTGCTTTTAAGTTTTTAGGGATGACTTGGTCATAGCCCATTTCATAATCTTATTTAGAAAAAAAAAAAGTTTAAATAAACTGGAGGAGTCAGTCTTTTTCAGGAAATATGTGTCTAAGGTGCTTCAGCTGCTGTTTCAAGTAGCCACTGGCTTGGTATGACTGTGGGGTTTGTGTTGTCACTGGTCACACTTTTGAAAGAACTGCCTCTAACTTTATGGAAAGTGAAAGCTGTATTTGCTGGGGAGAATGGAGAGAGGAAATGCTGGTCTCTACAAGGAGCAATAATAGTTACTGAATGTGATCACTGTCACATTTGCATAAAAATGTGTGAACATGGTTTTGAGGGTCAGGTGTCCTTGCCCATGGCAGGGGAGCTAGATGATCTTAACATCCTTTCCAACTCTTACTGTTCTGTGATGATTCTATGAGGATGAAAGACAGGTAAACTGTGCATCTTGTGTTCATTTGTACAGTGATACTGTCAGTTGAAAAGGGCCTGTGTGAAGAACAAGTTAAAAGGAAATGTGTAAGGAAAAGATTGTGTATTTTGCATGGATAAGAACTTTTGCATATCAGAAATAATGCTAACTGTGTCACTCAAGAAATAGAAGTATCGAAGTTAAGAGTTTTAATTGTACCGTGTTTTCAGTTTCTTTAGGTCTTTGGTCTATGCTGTCTTTTGAGAATGGCATCCAAAGGACACTCTTTGGAATTTCTATATAGGAAGCTTGCATCTGTGTGTAAACCTTAAGTCCCTATACAGGCAAACATGATCTGAGTTTTGAGAAACTTAAAATGAGTAAAAAATATTACTGGAACTCCTCAATTTTTTACTGAATTATTACATGTCCTTCTGTTTACAGCAGTGCTGCCATTCTATTTGATAGGAAATACTGTATTTTTCTGAAATAAATTGACCACTAGTTGGTTCTCTAATTTTCCTGCATACTGGGGAATTGAACTTTTCTGTTTCTGTGCAGTCTCCTAAAAATACTTCATTGGCAATGTAAAGCTGTGGTTCTAAATGAAGACATCATACTTCCTTCCCATGTAGTTGTTGGGCAGTAGTTATAACACCAGGATAATGTGGTGTTATTATATTCTATTTTATACATGGAATGTTGGTGTTAAATTCTGAAGTTTATATTGTAACATGTCCCTTCATGACTGTTAATGCACTGATCTTACTGGGGCAACACTGACTAAAATTCTCATTGGCATGCATTATAAGGAGTTAAACTTCATGAATTAAACTCAGATCTGTTTAGTCTGCTGGGCAGCAGCTAAAATGGGGATTTAAAGCAGTAATTTATGCTTTCTGGGCCATGGATTATTCTTGGTACTTGTTTTTCCTTGAACCATTAGACCTAAGACAGCATTAATAGGACAATGATTTCTTGTGCATAGTATTGTCTCTGATTTGCAGCTACCCAAAACATCTCTTTGGAGAATAGACTGAAGTATGGTTTTGCTGGTGGAAGATGTTTTTCACCTTGTAATACATTTGTGAACATAGCTACTTAGTAGTATGCAGGGTTTGCAGCAGTCTCAACTTATTTCTCGTTATTGTGTCTGGAATGTGTTTATGATGATACTGAGATACCTATGGAAATTCTGATCATTCAGGACATGGAAATTAGTCTTGTTAAATAGCTTGGCACCTGACATCAGTTCTTTACTTAAACTTTCTTATTATTCTCTGGGTATTCTGAGGAACCTCCTGGATTATGTTTGTGAAGTTGAGATTAAAAGTAAAGCCACAAAAGTCTTCTTTAGTATTAAAATAAACTGGTTTAGCTATATGTATCCTCTGTCTGCAATTACATGCTGGAGTAAACATTTACCAACATGGTTCTGGCACCCCTTTTGCTTCAGTTTTTCTTGGGTTATATTTTGATTTTATACTTGAACAAGACTAGTTTTCAATCTGTGGTACTAGTACAGTCCTATGATAAAAATGCAACGTGGAATTTTGCTGGTACTTAGATTTATATGAGCAGATGTACTGGTTCTAAACCAGAACAGTTTTTCAGTATTTTTGTGTGCTTTAAAGTGAGGGCTCAAAGCGTATAGGAGATAAGCCACTCTTCAGATTATAATATGTATTTATCCTATTTTTTAAAGCTGACATGGTTTGTTTGTTTCTTTTTTTTTTCTTTTTTAGGATTATGGTAGTTGCCTGTAGACCTTGTAAGTGAAGTCTAATGCTTCTGTTCTTTCTTTTTTTTTTTTAATCTCCTCTAGGGTTTGAAATCTAGGAGAATGGCAGACATAGACAAGTAAGTAACATCTGCAGGTTACTCTGGCTCTTACTATGTCCTTTGCTGTACTTCAGATGGCTGTGATCTCCAGATAGTGGATAGACAGGGTCTAGGTAATGATCTTCACACTGTGGCAAGATGTGAGGTTTATAATGTGTGGAAGTTTTAAGTTGGGTTTGGGATATTAATTGTAAGTAAATCCAAAACTAATACAAGACACTAGTCAATATACTATGTTAGTTGGAATTCTGGAGGGGAAGACAATGTTAGTACTGCTCATTATTATTGTTTCACTGTATGTAGATTTTTTCCTATACTTGACTCATTTTTTATGGCATTCAAAGTATAGTTGAGGTAAACCTACCCTCAGTTCTCAAGGCCTGCACATCATAACAAAGAGGATGTACAGGCATAAAAAGGCTTTGACTTGTTGGTATGATCAGGAGCTGAATGAATTCTTTCGTAAAAAGGATTCTTCAAAATTCTGGAAAGCTGCTAGCTCTTTAAACAGTTCTGAGATTGCTGATGTAAAACTTGAATCTATGAAGACAAATTTGGCTTCGGCTATTTAGACTTCTAGATTGTCATAGATCAAAACTGATGTAACAGTTTGCTTCTACCCACATGATCTCTAATTTGAGCTCTTTAAGCTCATTATAATATTTTATAAAATTAACTTGATCTGTTACTGAATATTCCCAATAGCAAAGAACAGTCTGAACTTGATCAACAGGATATGGAAGATGTTGAAGAAGTAGAAGAAGAAGAAACTGGTGAAGACGCCAATAGCAAAGGTAACTTTGAAAATTGTAAGCAGTTGCATACATGCTTTCTAATGAATGCGTTGGAAGGATTTTACTACTTAAAATGATAGGAAATGGTAAAACATAACTAGTGATGCACAACTGTATTGCTCTTATTTTTTGATCAGTTGCTCAGTAATTTGCTGATGAATTGACTGCGAACAGAAGAAAAATCATGCTTAATGTTACTCTTAAAATGAATAAAATCAATACATTTTTATTCTCTCTCTCTCCCCCCACTGCCCTCCCAGCAAAAAAACCTGAACATGCATTGGAATGCTTTTGTATGTCTCAATGGTCTTATTCATGCTTTGTAGTTAATGACTGGGAGCACACATAGAATTTTGAAGAGCAAACAGCCAAAAGAGAAATAACAATCTCTGCAATAAAATGATTTGGACTGCTGATAGTGCCCCATAATGTGATTGCCTGAACAGAATAACACCACTAAGGAAAAGTATGATAATTTTGCTCAAGGTGATGTTAGAGTCTTTGCTATATCTGTTGAAAGAAGTCTTTCCAAAATTGGATTGCAAAATTCTCAGGAACACGTTGGTCAGCTGAAGAACAGCTTATAGTAATTAAATGGTAGGTATTCAGCTGTTGCAAAGGAACCTAGAGGTGAATAATGTGGGGTTTTCTAGTGATTATTTCCAGCTATTGTAATGGAATCTGAGGGGAAATTATACTATAGCAATCTTGGAGGGAAATTGGGTTTTGCAAGTCAGAAACGTGTTTCAGTAGCAGGGAAACTTGACACAGTGCTAAGCAGTTTTTGCATCTGTAATTCTTGCTTGTCTAGTTCACTAGTGTATCCTTCATGCACAATTTTTCCTTAGGTTATACTGATTTACTTTTTTTTTAATCTAGATAATTCTGGTCAGGTATGTCAAAAGTCCTTCTCTGGGCACTAAGTAGTCACACTTTAAGGAGAAAGCTCTTTGAAGAAGTAGTATTCAGAAATCCAAGAACTTGCAAAACAGAATGTGTTTTGGATCTCAGTTTGAGGAGATATGGCTGTTTGCACAGGCATACCATGTGTGATGTGTATATTGATTTGGTAATAAAGAATACCTGGCAACAGACCCAAATGGCACAATTGGGTAGGTTTTCAAGTGTATGTGGAAGACTTACAAATAATAAGACCAGAGAAAATTGGATACCTTGACAAGGAGTGGTAATGACCAATGTGAGGTAGTACCTTTTTAATAAATAATTACAGCTATATATGGTAATATAAACTCATTGCAATCATTCTGGAGAAACAGGGCTGCTCTTTTGGATGTCACTTGAAACATTTCAGCATGGAATTTCAGTGCTAGGACATAAAAGTGGTTAAAAGAGAATAGAGGTTACTGTAGTGAAGGGTATAGAAATAGAAAATGGTATGCTATTTCTAAAAGCTTTATGCATCAAGAAGGATTCAGAACCTTCACTCTAATTTGAATATGTCAGAAGAATGCTGTATAAACCTAGTATCTTATAAAGAATGCAACTTGCTTGTCTGCCTATCTGTAGATGTGGGGGATAGAGGGAGGAAGGCAAAACAGCATGAGAAGAACTGTCCATAAATTCTTATGATCAGTTATTAGTATTAAATCAGTCATAGATCAGTTATTAATCAATATTAAAAATACAGAGTTGTGAAATTCATTTCTGCAGATTGAGGCACAAATTTTGAGCAGAAGGGTTGATGTTAATATGGATAATGGAATCTTAGGCTAGGAATCCGTGTGTTTTTCATTGTTTGAAACAGTTTTCCCATTTGGACAAAGTGATTTCTAAAGATGGTGAAGATGGTAGACTTCATGGACTTAGTAGTCAGTAATGTGTCAGACTAATGAATAATTTATTCTTTTGCAGAAAAAATTAGGCAAACATGGATTTACAGATCTAAGTCTGAAATAGTTTTGTTTCTTTCCGTTTACCTAAAATGGAATGAAAATCCCCATGCCAGTTTTTATTCCCTTCTTAAAGTAAAAGCAGTCAAGGCAAAACTGATGCCTTCAGAGGCATTGAGAAACATTCCCTTGTAACAAAAAAAACAAACAAACAAAAAAAAAACAACAAAAAAGTCCCCCAAAAACTCATTTTGCTGAGTAGTGGCCATTTTAATCCAGGTGCTGTTTCAGTGTGCAGAATATGATGGATTTGATCCATGCTTCCCAAATGGAAAGGTGTTTGAAATACTACTTTGCCGATTTTCTTTTTACAAGTGTATATATATATAGTAAATGTGCTGCTCTTTTGTAGTATTTAAATATCTTTTCTTTCAAGATCAGTGTAAAAGAAGCACTTAATGTAATTTCTTTTTTATTTAGCTCGGCAGTTGACTGTACAGATGATGCAAAATCCTCAGATTCTCGCAGCCCTTCAGGAAAGACTTGATGGTCTGGTAGGCACATCTACAGGCTATATAGAAAGGTACAGTATTTGTTCAGTTTGAGTAGTGATACAAACAGTTTTGCTTTCTGAACAATATTGTCTGTTCAGTCATAAACTGCTGCTCAGATAGCAGGAAAACTGATATAGTCTGTCTGTAGAATTGTGGAATTTTTATTTGGGGTTTTAGGAACAAAAGAATGTTAATATTTACAATGGCTGACCTTGTCTCCTGCAGTTATGATATGGCACACTATTAAAAGGTATTTTGCTGCTACTTGGAATGTCTTTTGTAGCTTTGCCTTAATCATGAAAAATCAGTTAAGTACAGAAAAATACCTGGGGACCTGCTGTCTCTAATATAGTAATTTTTTTTGTTAGACTGTAACCATTAGCTAATAAAATTAGAAAAGTTGTTAGCAGTACATCATGTGATCTCCTTACTTGGTCTGCATTAGCAGATAGAATTTTTTGGTTCTCATGTGATTTCTGATTGTGTGTGAACATTTCACTACATCTACAGGAATTATAAACCATACAACTGTCTTGCTGTGATACAGTCCAACATTGCTATTGGCTTGAACTGAATAATAGGCCTTGCTTTTGCTGCTACTCCTACTAATACCATTTTTCTGTGATAGATGATAGTGTGGAAGAAAAGCCCATTTAACTAACAGTCTTTCTTAATAAATACTGGCCAAGTAAGAGCATGGAGTCAAAGGGTACCCACATTCTCTCGCCCAGATACTACACACTACAGGCTTTCTATACACAGTGTTTTCCTTTTTTTTTTTCCTGATCTTAGTTAACGTCTACTAACTTTTCAGATCCTTGACCTAAGAAGTGAACAAAAGTGATAACATTGATTTACATGGCATTCTTCTAGTCAGCTGCTCTCTGACATACTGTACCATTTTTTCATCAATTCCAAGTACAGTAGTGCATTTTTTAACACAAAAGCATTGCAACTTTGCCACTGTACCGAACACTTACCTAGCTTGCAATATGAAAAGAACTGGAAAATGTGTGTAAATTGATTCTGCTCTTTCTCAGCATATGTGTGCTTACTTAACCAGGCTTTACAGGTGGCTCTTAAATGTCTTCCCAAGTATTTAGTTTAGTCATCTACAGAGTCTAGACACTGAGATAGCACAGAAGTTGGCAGCAATCTGGGATCCTAAATGCCAGTTATGTGAGCTATTAAGGAACTAGATGCGTAAGCTGGTAGGAAACTAAACAGGTTCCAGGAAAACATCTGTCTGCTCAGGCTTAGAATTTGCTAATTGCTTGGCAGCTATCCAGTAACTTCTTCACCTGTGTCTGGCCACAATAATTCTAATGAAACATACTTTAATAGAGCAGAATTTCCATCAGCTGCTCACAGGAGGTTGTATTCTTGTGTGATGATAACCTTTTCTAGTGGCTTGTAGAGCAACAGCTTTTACTTGCCATTGTTGTACTTGTGAAGTCCTGTTCAGATATCATGGTCTGCTTTGGATTTACTTTAAGAGCCGTCTCTTTCATGAAACTGCCTTTCTTTTTTGTAAAAAAGTACAGTTTGTAAAGGTAGTTGATGTACAAATAGTGATGCACTGGTTGGCATGGAATGTAGCTTTGACACATGCAAAAGACTGTAGATTCTTTAGTAAAGGGGTTAAAATCTTTCCTCTGACATACTGGAACTGAGCATTCTGAATGTATGGGGCACTACCTCTTAGGAATTTCATCGTTCTTTATATGCAGTTGTTAAGGCCAGTACTCATAGTGTAAATATATGCATGTGGCACTAAGTGGGCGATCATTGTATGACTCAACTGTGTGGTCATACTAATTTTCTTCTTTAGCACCTTTTTCTTGAACTGACAGAACTTTCTACTTAAGTTACTGTTGGATCTGATATTGTACTTGAAGATAAAATTACAGCAAGTGATTAACTTGACTAACTTCTTCAAACATGTCAGAGTAATGAGAATGGTATCAGCCCTTCATGAAAATACATGTCTAAATTTAAGCATTTTGGTAGTTAGTTTAACAGATGTACTTTTGCCCAAATCAGAAGGTTAAGGGAAATCTTGATATAATGGTTATATGCATATTATCTTAGCAACCAGAAATAGTATATTCATGTTGATTATAAAGGTATTGAGGAGGAAGGGTTCTGCGTTTTAACTGAACAAGTATATTGGAAGATGTGCCTGTTCTATCTGGTAGATGTAAAAGAGCTTTAATAATTAGTATGAACCCTCAGTGTGTAACTTAAGCTAATATGTTCTTGGTTACTTCCTCTAACCTGAAGCTGGTCCTAACAGTTAAAAGCAGGTGTTCACTACTGTGTTCTAAACAACACTGCACAACTGCTTAAATAAAACAAATATAGGAAATTAACATAATATTCTGTAACCAATTTGTTCTGCCTCCCAGGCAAGGGAGGCTGTCAGCAATCTACGCCATAAATCTCACTTGTCACCTTGATGTATGTAACTTTGTCCTAACACTGGATCTACATTACCATAGTTTGCTAAAGTGACATTAGTACTCAAAGAGTTGTAGCTGACAAGTATTTATGATGAAGATGGACTTAATTGCTTTGCTTTTACATATATATAATGTAGTGGCTCATTTAGCAAACCAGTTCTGGCTTGCTTTGGGAGTGACAGTTAATATGTTAGAAGGCAGTAGTACCAGCTGCTTGCCTTGGTGAAATAAAAATGTGAATTTTGAAGATCACCTTCTTTAGCAAAGAACAGCTTGATTGTCTTGAACATTCTTTCATAATACAAGCCAATTAGTGATGAGACCTTTTTTAGTCATGCTCAATCACATGGATTTACTGTGCTGTTTGTTGTTAATGTAAAACTTGGGTTTTAGTATGAAGTTATGTTGTACAAGTTTGTCTCATGATTGACAATGATTAAACCCAGGTGTTTGGGATACTCTGGTTCTAACTGAGGTTAAGTCTCAGTTTAAAAGCCTGTGCTAACAGTTTTAATCTGCATGGTTCAGTGGGTGATAGCTTTGATTTTTAGGTCACAGTTTTGATTTGTACAGCTTTCTAAAGCTTAAAATAGAGTGTCAAATCTGTTTTGATGCAAGTTGGTTAATTTGCAAGGGGACTGGGTAAGGAGGGGTCAGAATGTGCTTAGAATACAATGATAGTAACTGTTCTGTCACTGAAATTTTCAGCTTGCCTAAAGTTGTTAAAAGACGTGTGAATGCTCTCAAGAACCTTCAAGTTCAGTGTGCACAGATAGAAGCAAAGTTCTATGAGGAAGTTCATGAGCTGGAAAGAAAGTATGCTGCTCTCTATCAGCCCTTATTTGACAAGGTATTTTAATGCTAATCTGTTTTGTACTTAAAAGCTCTAGCTAAAACACAGGGGAATATAAACTGAAAGCTTACTCATGTTCTGAATTACTTTGGTCTTGTATGTGCCCATGTAATTCAGTTAATACAGCTTTACCATCCATGTGAATATCAGCTAAGATTAATGGGGAGAAAGGTTCAGTTTGTTCTGTGGTTACCAAAATCACCTCAACATGCTAGGTCTCATCTTGTTAATTGAGCAGATACCAGATGATGTGGTAACCTTTCTGGAACTTTGGTGTTTTAGTGCATTAAAAAGCTCTTAATTGCTGAGTTGTCTTCTAGCACTGGAAGAAAAGGTTTTGATACATAGTTAATGTATTGCTAATTCTGTAAGTTTAGGATTAGGAATTTATTGGTTAGGACATTATTGGTTACAGTAACTAGGGAATTTGAACATATTCTTGGTTTAATCTTCCAGCGAAGTGAAATCATCAATGCAATATATGAACCTACAGAGGAAGAATGTGAATGGAAAGCAGATGTTGAAGAGGAAATTTCAGTGAGTATCTTAATCTGTTCTCGTCAGTATTTCAACCTTTAGCATGAAATAAGATTTAATACAGTAACTAAAGTTAAAAATGAAATTGGGCGCATAATGATTACTGATAGTAATTATCATAATTCTTTGATTGCTTAAAGCATGCATGTGACAATATGCTCTGTATCAACATAAAACTGTTAATGAACCTTCTGGTCACTCTCTTAAAATTAAGAAAAACTAAAATTTTTATCAAGGAGGAAATGAAAGAGAAAGCCAAGCTTGAAGAGGAAAAAAAAGATGAGGAAAAAGAAGACCCTAAAGGAATTCCAGAGTTTTGGCTGACAGTATTCAAGAACGTGGACTTGCTAAGTGATATGGTTCAGGTAGGTGGTGGTCCAGGCTTGTTTAAAGTTGTGTTAATATTTAATCAAAGTGTCTTTAAGAAGGGAGTAGCAACAGTACATGATGTGTCTCTAGGAGAGCAAAAATGGAACAAGTACTTGGTTGTCAACTGAGAGCACAGAGCATTCTGAAATACCTTCTTATTGTGTTATTTGTTGAACTTATTTTACCTTACTAATATGCCTTCTGTACTTATAAGATTGTGGACATCAAAAGCAGTATTAGATACAGCTAAAACCTGTATTTGGTATTTGCGCGGATTTAGGTTGTGTACTACAGTGTGAAATTTTTTCCATGCAGTCGTTGTTGCCATCTGCTGGTCAAGTTTGTGAAACTGTTTCAGTGCTTTAACAAGGTTCTTGTGCTATGTAAAACTCGTTCTAAAACTGGCTTTTCATCTCTGCAGGGTCTTAAATCTGTGTATAATTTAATATTATGAAAATTGAATAACCTGTATTTTTCTTTGCAGGAGCACGATGAACCTATCCTGAAACACTTAAAAGATATAAAAGTGAAGTTTTCAGAAGTTGGACAGCCTATGGTCAGTTTAACCTGTTAAACAAGATTACTTTTGTGTTATCTAAAGATTTATTTGTATATTAGTAGCATGGTCTGTGATAGCCAGTTGTCTTATGGCAATCATGAGAAATACGCAGCTACTTCTTGTCTTCTGAAGAACAGTACAAAGACTAGTACTAGTCTTGCAGTACCATAGGAATGAATTTATACTTAATTTAACCTTCAAATTCTGATGAGTTAATAACTAGGCCTTAATATCTTGTGACTAAGTTTCACATTTAAATTTTGATACCTTCAGGTACTTTCTGTATAGCTGCTGCATATAATTGGATATAATTCCCTTGCCAGAAATCAGATAGCTTGAGAAGTTTTAATATTTTAAATTTGGAAGTTCTCTCTATAGGTTAATGCCAAGAGAGCTGTACATTAGATCTTGTGTCATTACTGCAAGCAGTATGTGAACTAATAAGTACAAGTAAGCACAAAATCAATACGGTAAACAAAAACATTTGAAGATTTATTGTATAACTTGGGCAGCAAATTCTAGAACAAGTTATGTATATGCACTATTTCAGTATTGGAGGAGGTAGATATATTCCCTCCATGTGTATTTTTGGTTTTAGATTTTAGGTATTTAGAAATTAAAGGTATGTGTTGCTGAAGTTAATGCTCTGCAATTCTTTTTAAGAGTTTCACATTAGAATTTCATTTTGAACCAAATGACTACTTCACAAATGAAGTATTGACAAAGACATACAGAATGAGGTCAGAGCCAGACGATTCTGATCCCTTCTCCTTTGATGGACCAGAAATCATGGGTTGTACAGGGTAAGTGCTAATAAATAACACTAAGGCTATGTAGCATTTTTTTCCTTAGCGTTATCCAGCTGTAGACTTGCAGTTTGGAAAGGTGCTGGAAAGAGACTGTTAACTAATAACAGTTATTAGTTAACATAACTGTTATTATGGCTGGCTTCGACTTAAGTTTTTCAGTGTGGCTTCGACTTAAGTTTTTCAGTGTTTTTCAGTAGCTTCAATACAGTATATAAAATTAGATATTTTATATAATGCATATGTACTATATATGAATATAAATAAAAAGATCTAGTCAGTATTTATTTAGAAATAGGCAGGTGCTAGAGCTGGATTGGAAGGGGTTATCTCTTTGTAGGCCTTTAGCTTTTTTCAAAATTTGTTTGATCACTTTTAATCTCTTTTGTGTTTGACACTCAGTGTTTTGGGAAGTCTGTTCCAGTTCTTCTTTCCATACCACAGTTGTCCAGTTTGTTTTACAAGTGTTGAATGTTTGCCTCTGAGTCTCTTTTCAATTGATCCATTTGAGAAATGAAGAACTGTTATCCCGTTAGATCCAGCTTCCTTGTGATTTTAAAGAGCTGTCATACTCCTTTCTCAGTGATGCCTTTTGTTCCAAATTGGCTGTTACTCCTTACACTAAATAGTCTTTCTCTGTACATGTCCCTTTTCTTGTGAACAGAAGGGTAACAGAAAGCTGAGTTGTATATAATTAGCCTTATGGCTACATCAGGTCTCTGTATATAGCCTGTTAATGTGTCTTGAATGTTCTGACTCCTCTTCTGAGTGTTAGTAACTACTTTAAAGTCTATCGCTTCATACTCCTGGTTGTTTTTTTCTGTATATTATTCTGCAGTTACTGATACTAACTTCCATTTACCACTGCATTTCTCAGTCACTTAATGTAACATTTCTGCAAATATCCTGTGAGATTTAGTCTTAAGTGCTTGAGTAGCTTTGGTCAAACTGTTTTGTCTTCCTCAGTTTGGACAGTTTTTGAAAAGCATAAATCCTGGCAGAGGTCACTGTAAGATGACACTCTGCTGCTGTGAAAAACACTTATTCTTAGTCCATGTTTTGTCTTTTAACTAAGAGCTTTTTTTTTTTATCCCAAAAGAGCTCACTCGCTTCGAGTCTTTAAAGGAATCTAATCAGGAACTTGCACAAATAAGGACAGTCATGGACATGACTTCATTTACATGTCCCCAGAATGATTTTTGATTGTGAGATGAGTCTGTGGGCATAATTTTGCATAAAGTAAGCAGGATGGAGTTAACAAAAAACGACCAAACAAAAAACCAAACTAAAACAAGGTGGCAAAACCCCAACAAACAGGCAGCTAAAACCAACGCAAAACTACACATCTGTTTCATGCATTATTTTAAGGACTTGTGGATTACAATGGTAGGTGTGGTAAACCTTGGCATATTACTAGTATGACCAAATATGACATTACTTTATAATTGATATGTAGCTCTAAAAATGGGAGTGATCTTCTTTGATAGGAAACTAGGCAGAACTTGGTAGCTAATGAAAATAGCATTTACTAGATTGTGTGGGGAAGGAGAAACTTTTGTATGAAAACACTTCAATCATAAAATGAAACTGTTAGTCTTGGGTTTGATGAATGAAGTAATGAAAATATAGCACTGAATAAATAAGTGGAATGATAATGAGCTGCAGCTGCTTTTTTTTTTCCTTCCCTCTTCAGTTGCCAAATAGACTGGAAAAAAGGAAAAAATGTTACTTTAAAAACCATTAAGAAGAAGCAGAAACATAAGGGTCGTGGAACAGTTAGAACAGTGACAAAAACTGTTTCCAATGATTCTTTCTTCAACTTCTTTAGTCCTCCTGAAGGTAAACTGAACATTAGTTTATCTGCATTAACTTCAGATGTAGTTTGAACTTCACTCACTTGTTTCTTCTCTTTTTTTTCTTATAGTTCCTGAAAGTGGAGACCTGGTAAGTTTGCTTATTTAGAATATGAGGGTGGGGGGCAAACACCAGTGAAAGCACTCATACCTTTATGTGCAAAATGTTTGTTGAAATTGTTTGGATATTTATTAAACAGTTTCAGCTCTAACTTTCTGTATTTAACTGAGAATACTTGTGATGAATAGTGTGCATTTGTTTTCTTTATTAAAATGAGTATTTGAGTTGGATCACAGAGTTTAGCTTAGTAAACTTCAACTTAAATTTCCTGTAAGCTACCTTGGGAGCTGTTAACAGTTGTGTAATTTTAGTGATCTTTGTTATTAGCCTTTGGTCTAATGGCTGGTGTAGGTCTGTTTCTTTGGGCATTATTTGGGTGAGCTTCTCTAATGGCTGCACGTATCCAGTTTGTATTTTATGCTGTTAAAAATTTCCCAAGCTGTTAACTCTTGGAGAAGGTAATAAAGCAAGAACAGAAAACTAAGAGCCCACTCTTCTGTGTGCTCACCAAGAGAAGACTCTGTAGCAATAAGCTATGTTATTGTAAACCACTTTAAAGTGCTGATTACATTGTGTAGCTTGAGTGAGAAATCTGGTTAAAGCTTTCGGAAGCATGCTGTTAAAACTCTTATGTGACATGGACATCAAAAGCTGTGTGTTTGTAGTGTTAAAACAAATTAAAAAGAAGCCTTTTGACTTGAAGGTAACTTCTCAGATACAGAGGAACACTTGTGTGTAAACAAAAAGAATGAAAACCTGGAACTGCATCAGAGAGCATTTTTAGGTGTTCATGTGTTTCACAGTGTAATGGGAGTCATGGAGGAGATGCACTGTAATAATCAGAAGTACTTGTAAAATTTTTAATTAGGCTTATCTGGCTAGTAGTTAGTTCTTATGGGTATTGTGCATAAAAAAGAAAGTCTGGGAGGTATCAAACAGTTTTTCTACTTAAAAGCATGTTGGGAGTGGGGAAGAATAAAACTTAAATTCCACAATTTTGTGTAATTAAGCTTACTGAAGAAGCAGTCCCCCCTGCATAATGCAGATAGGCTGTATATAGTATAAAACTTGGCTCCACAATTTAAATCTTATAAAGCAAGTCCTGAATAAAAAAAAAAAGCACAGGAGGTTCGTGTAAATTTGGCCACATCAAAGTCTGTGCAACTTGTGGTTTTGTGTCAAAAATGACTTAGGAAATAATGTTTTATGCAGGATGATGATGCTGAGGCAATCCTTGCTGCAGACTTTGAAATAGGTCATTTCTTGCGTGAACGTATAGTCCCCCGATCAGTATTGTACTTCACAGGAGAAGCTATTGAAGATGACGATGATGATGTAAGTATAGTGTTCTTTTAAAATGCTAAAAACTTTGAAATAAAGCTGCTTAAAGATTTTTGGTAATTTCTGACTTAAAATGTTGGTATCTTTAGAATGGGATGTATCAACATTAGTTTCAGCTGAACTTCCTAAAGAGCAGCACAAAACTAATTCATCCTTGAAGTAGTGACTCCAGAGTTTCATAGTAAAAGGAGTAGTAGAAGCTGAACATTTAGAGGATGTTTTAAGGAGGATTTTGTGTATAAGGCATTCATAGGGTGGCATACCCCATACTTTGGTAGAGCTATAATGAGCTGCCAGACAACAAATCAGTCTTATTTATCTACCTGCCCTTCCTGTTCTTTGTGCTTATAGTGATACTGTGCTACTAAGTTCCTTGAGATTCAAGCCTGATCCTTTTGGAGGGTATTCTTATTAAAAAATTGTAGATAAGCACATTCAGATCATGTGAAAATATTCAAAGTGAGCTTTGTAAAGGCTTGAATTAAGTGTTGTAAAAGAGCTAAGCTTGCAAACAAACCACAAACCCCCAGAACTTTAGGTGGGCAAAATATTTTCTTGCTACTGCACAAACAAGGACAGTTTGACAGTTAAGATAGCTTAAGTAAGTCCTGCCTTAAAATTTATTTTTAGAATGTAAAATGGTAGCTCTTAGTCCAAAGCGTTGGCCTGGGGGATGTAGAAGAGGGAAGTAACTGACTGTACAAATTGCCTTAGGCTTTGAGACACTCCACTGGCCAGAAGGCTTATCGTAGTCTAATAAGCTCTTCCAGTGTTGTATGTAAGGAACTTAAACTAGACGGTTTTCTCTGCTAGAGCATAGCTTAAAAGATTGAGCATTGCTCATGCTGATACAGAAAACACTTTAAAATCTGTCAATAAGAAATTATTTTGGAGAGCACAGTACCGTATGGTCTCTGGCATTTACTTGAGTTATCTGTCTGTACAGCTGCATTTATGACCCTATCAAAACCTTTTTATTTTCTAGTACGATGAAGAAGGTGAAGAGGCAGATGATGAAGTAAGTTGACAAGTAGCCTTGATTTAAATAATTTTCCTTTTGTAGTTTATCTGAAATAAGAGTTCCTTTAGTTTTTTAATACTCTGGACACTAAGTTTAAGCATTACTTAGGAATGTAAGACACAACGTGAAATTTTGTGGATCTAGGGTGAATACTTCAACCTAGCAAAAAGCCCAAACCAAATGAAGACCACCCTAAGTTATCTTACAAATTAAATTGCAACTGATGTCAAAAGATGATGTGCTTTGTGGAGGGCTAACTGATGCAATATGTATAACTTAAAGTGGTAATGTATTTAAGAGCATAATTTAATCTTAATTTTAATGAAAATGGCTCAGGAAGTTGAATGTGTATAAGCTAGAGTAACATAAACAAGTGTTTTCTTTCAGGAGGGGGAAGAAGAAGCAGATGAAGAAAATGATCCTGACTATGACCCCAAAGTAAGGAATTATAAAGACTGTTTGAATTTTGTGTATGCATACTTACACTTACAAATTTATGTAGGTTAAATCTTGATTATTTTTTTGATTAAATACTTAATCAGTAGTTCCAAAGGTGAGTATGTTTTGGCTAAGGCTATTTCTGCCCCAGTTCTGACAGGCTAATAATGATAGCGCGACTTTGAAGTTCTTTCTCCAAGAATCATTTTGTAGAAGTGACTTTGGCTTTGAGCACTGAAATTATTCAGGCTTGGTTTTCTTGCAGCAAGTTGCTGCTAATAGTGAAAATGTTCTGTAATTGTAACTCCACACAGAGAACTCCATGATGCAGGTTCAGTTTTGGGAACCTGTCCCAAGCTGACTCTGGCACAGATTTTTCCAGCAGAGCATAAAACTGAAGCTTCTTCAGGATAAATAATAGCAAGTCTTTCATTGCTTGAGGTAGAAGTGAAGGTTCAGGAATGTGTTTACAGCCAACTACTGAAATGTGAATAGCTGAGAATGACTATCTGCTTTCTTACTCCATGGGAGAAGGGCAAGTCGCTAGTCCAGCTCAGTTTGCTGGAAAAGTGACTGTGAGCCACTGGGTTCATAGATTCTTCCTAGCTGAAGAAAAGGTACATTTGGCCACCCAAAAGCATCTAATGGTGGTAGGTGAAAGTTGTAGTTGCGAAAATAAAGTCTGGGAATGAAGAATGTCTGCTATGAAATCTGCTTTCAATTTCTGATGAGGAGGCAGCATTTTTTTCAGTAGAAGTGGTTTGAGCCACAATGAAAGTACTCTTGAAAGAATTACATAATCTCAGTGTTGTACCTAGAAAGATGTAGGGTGTAGAACTGTTAATCAAAGTGTACAGCCTGTTGGTTATGGTCCATCTGCTGTAGTGTATTCAGATTGCTTCCAATTGAAAAAGGTTTTGGAATCAAAATGAAGCTGCTGGAAGATGGGCTTCTTGTGTTATGTTGCCACAATCTGAAGACAGTGGTATTGCTAATACTATGCCATTAGTTTAAGGGAAAAGAGAAAAGAAGAACTTGAATACTGGAACTTAAGAAAGTAGGCTTAGTGGTATTAATAGTTCTTTTAAAACACTGATACCTGTAAACTGTTTTTTCCTTTTTTCTTAACAGAAGGATCAAAACCCAGCAGAATGCAAGCAGCAGTGAAGCAGTGTGTATGTGGCCTTGAGGATTACCTGCACTGTAATAGCCTAAACACAACTATTAGTTACTTACAGCCTTATGTTTTGTATCTTGGTAGAATTAAGTAACCAATTTCTTTAAAAAAAAAGAAATCAAACACATAAGAACCAGTTTAAAATGTAGGTTCAATCTACCTAGCATTTTAACAGTATAATTTTCTGCCAATACGTAGAATGCAGTAAATCCCCTAAAGCATGAATGTTAATTCATTGCTACATAGTTTGGTTCTTGTGAAGTCTTTGTCATGTAGCTATTAGACTGCAGCTGTGAAGATTATCAGAACTGTTAACTGAGACCAATATTTGTTTAGAGAAAACTTCTCTCCTGAAGAACCAACCAAAGTATTTTTCAGCCCAGTAGTCGGAACGGGTTTAAGTCTGCTTGCACTAGCTGTGCCTTCATTACTTTGTTATAGAACTGGCAGTGACTTGTACTAACTAGGAGATGATGCATTTTGAATTTGACTACTTCAGAAGATTGGTATAACTTGTTTAATTTCCAACGAGACCACATTAAACATTCATAACTGTCAGCTTGTTTATGCTATGGGTTTTGTATTTTATGTGACATAGTGATCTACAAAAGAAACCTAGTCATCATATTAAGGTTATTGTTTACCACTGGGGTGTGAATAAAACCTAGTATTTTCAGAAGCTAGTCTTGTTTTATTATGATGTGTGTATCTGCATGTAAGGCATATCTTTCATGCTGCAGTTCACTTTCACTAGAAAAAAACGTTGAGAGTTACTGAGAAGTAAATTATATAGCATTTTAAAACCAAACACAATAGTTTGGAAAGTTTGAGCCATACTTTCCGCTTGCAGTGTGATACTTGTGAATCTGAGCTAGATGTTTCAGTGATTGGTCAACACTGCCATTTTGGAGAAGACAAGTCTTTTGAAGTGGGGCTAGATCTGATAAAGGACTTCAGTATTGCTGTGCCTGACTCTAGGGCACTGGTCATTAGTATGAATTCTGGAGCCAAGAAAGGTGCCTTGGATTTCTGTGTAGACAGAGCTGGGTTGTCCTGAACAAAACCTGCCCTGCAACCTAAGGGAGTGCTAGAACACTTAGCTGTATTCTACTTTGTACTCACTGTATCAAGCATCTACAGAGGAGAAAACAAATCCGAAGGGAATCAATCCCCTCTTCTCACCCAAAATTTTGTTCACTTTTATATCTGTGTGTTCTGGTTCATACTTTGTCTGTATTGATGTTCATTGTCAGTTAGAACATGGGCTAGATTTTTCTCATGCTAACCTTATCTGTAGTCTAGCAGTGGAGGTGCTGGTGTGATGTGGATTTGAATGCCTTCAGCTTGAAGAAACTATGACCCAATGACTTCCATTTGAGTTTTTCCAGTCAATAAGATGCTACTGTATTCTGTGTCGTCTTGTCATTCATGTAACTGTAGAAGTTCTGATCTTCTAAGCAAGTACCCAGATAACTTTCTGAGGGATGGGAAGGTCCTTGAAGGACTGGAAAGAAGGATCCAGCTAGCATGGATCCATTTTTGCAGTGACTGCTCTTTTCTTTTTCTTGCATTTCTTTTTGTTTGTTTCCTTCCTTGCCACTGGTACATGGACTTAGCTGTAAAGGATTAAAGGGCTGAAAAGAGTAGGGCAAGCAGGAGGCAACAGCTGCATGAGGATAAGGCTGGTGGAAGAGTTTCTTTAGTATGTCTCTTGGTTGGAGCGTAAGTAATACAGAATAAAGCTTATCCCAAGTGCCCTTCTTGAATCCTCAGCCCCCGTGAAAGGAAGAGGGTTGAATATGCCCTGACTAAACTGATTTTTATCTTCGGTTTAATTCCTTGAAGGCTCAAATACCATACTGCTTCATTTCAGAATCCCTGTCAGGCTTCATCTTTCTCCTGTCCATGGACTTGGGAGCAGGAGCTCTTGCCACCTATAGCTGTGTATAGAACAGTACTGTTGAAGTTCTGCTCTTAGGTGTTTGTTTTTTTTAGGTAACGCATAGATCATAGTGTTGAAAAATAGAGAAATGAAAAGTTAACTTCACACTCTATGGTAGTTGTGTTCTTATGGTACAGATCCTGATTCTGCCAGTTTGTGTTTCACTTGGTCTCTTCTCTAAATGTCTCCAGGGTTAAGCTTAATCTTAAAATTCAGGGCATGGGAAGACCAAACTGATGGTATGTTATGAGCTTGAACAGTCATTAATATGGGGCTTTGGGGTTCATACTTTTTGACATGAGAAGTCTCTGAAGTCCTTACTTAGATCTAGCCCATTTTTACTAACAGCATCTGGCAAATGTATCTTAAAAAGAGAAAGCACTGTTGAAAGTTATCCAATGAATTTCAAAAGTCACTGTTAGGAAATTTTCGATGGCTTTCTCATTTAATATCTTCATATCATACAATGGGATGCAGTATTTGAAAAGGGGAGTTTGTAGTTGTCAAAGGTCACCTGCAGCCTGCAAGATCCAGAGCCATGAATCCATCTCTGTCAACAGATTTTTGGTAAGCTGCTCTCTAGATTGACTTGCTAGTTCTCAATCAGCAGGTCTTGTGCTCTGCAGACTGCAGCAAAAGGAAGGTTATAATCATACAAAATAAGGTGCCAGTTCTTACGGTGTCAGTTAAATAAAAACTGTTTTGGTGCTTAACGTAGTTTTGTGCTCAAAGACATTTGTTTAGCAATTCTGAAAGGCAGTATGTAGCAGGAACATTAAACTTTCAACATTGATTGGAGTATTGTGACTCATTCTTTTCACTTCTGGGGTTATACCAGCAGTAGAGAAACTCTTCATTTAGTATTTGAGGGGGATCAGTTACCTTGTTAACAAGTTCAGGCTAGGAAAATGTGTCAATGAAATAAGATTTCTTGGTCAGTTGTTGCAGTACTGCACCCAAATTTAAGATCTGGGTAAATGATGTCTTCTGTCTAGTTTTGGTCACTGTTTGAAGGGAGAATTAAGGAAAAATGGGGTGATGGTGAGGAAAACGGAGAATTAACGGGGACTTTGGATGACAGCAAAGGGTGCTCAGAGCTTATGCTTGATGGAGACAGATGCTTCTTGGGTAGTTATACACTTTCAGCAAATGTAGGTTAGCTTTCCTTAGCACTGTGTTCCTGCCTGGTATAACTTTGCTAATGTTAAATAATCTCAAAGTTGTCGTGAAATAAAGTAGACCAGACTTAAGCTTAGCATTCTCATGTTTTACTGTCTGGAGAAGGGTGATATCAAGTGTTGTTAGAAATGTTACCTTTGAGGTTTTTTTTTTAACAGTAGGCATAGCAATGCTTCTTACCATTGTCCAGTACAATTAACTAGCTTCATAAACTCAGTTTCTAGTTTTACTCATGGAACTGATGTGTCCCAAGCTGCTAGCAGAGATTGTAATTTTGACATGATTTTGTTAAATGAAGACAAACAACAAAACACAAAACCAAAAAACCCACACCAAAAACACCCACAAACAGCAGAGGATTGCAAACTCTGGGAATCAAATGTGTTGATCTTTACCTTCAAACTGGTACTTAAACTTTTGCTGTGTTTTAAGACCTGTTGTAGACCTGATTCAGAAATTGATACAGAACTTGGATGCAAATGGATGATTATTAACTTCTCTACCAGGGATTTCCTTTTGCCTTGTGTTGGGCAGGCGGATTGTTCTGTGGAATTCACGTTAGCATAGAGGAAACAAAACGCTAAGCTCCTCTGTAGAAAGGGGACAGTCTGTTGAAGGCATTTCTCTGTGTAACAGCCTTGATGGCCTGCTGGGCTGGAGATAGAGACACAGATGTTGGCTGTATAGTGCTCCTTCATGCTGTGCAGATAAATCCAATCCAATACTTTCTTGTACAGGTCAGAGAAGTCATCATTACCTGATGCTTACCTAAACTGAACATAAATCTACTGGAAATAGTAAGTCTTACTTCTGTTACAGTATCAGGAGGAGTTGGAAATTTATGTGGCATGTTGGGCAAGACTGTTCATTACTCCTTAAATCCCCCTGTTAGGCCTCTGGTCAGACCTAGTAGCTTCCACGTTTGGACTGTGTCTCAGCTTTTATAGGAAAATTAGAGCAAGTAAAGCAGACAAGACACTACACCAAGCAAAAGATAAGCTACTCCACATTTTGATCTGCTTGGTGTATACCAGAAGTGGGTGCCCAGGGAGTGCGGGGTTGTGGCAGAAGGACATTTGTTCTCGCAAGTATCTACCTAAAGTGTGCAGGGTTGTCAAGAAGAGTTGTCTTTGCAGCTGCAGAGAGGGTGCAGCTCCTGAACTTGGCTGTCACGAGCTTTGCTTTTATAGGCTCAAATGTTGATTATCTGCCTAAGCTTCTGTTTACCCTGCAATTGATGAGAAATGGTATGTTCTGAACTCGGACCATGTGTTATTCTGCTGGTCGAATCTGAGAAACTTCTAAACCCCCTTAGAAACTGGCTTTTGGCTCTACATGTGTTTAAGTACATTTTAATGTTTTTGGAATACCTCTTAACTGAAGAGCAAGGGACTTTGGAAAAGCCAGGCTAGAGCAGCTGCAATGCTAATAGTCTGTGCATTGCACAGTTTCTTTGTTTGGTACTACCATGGGTTACAGGGCATGCTAAGGTCTGGGGCAGTATGGTTGATAGTTAAATCTTGTGTGCATCTCTGCCTGGTTTACTATGGGGTATATACAGGTGCCTGTGAGATTGAGTTCATGAAAGGAAAATTCTTCCCCCAGGATGACAGATTCATTCTTCGGTGTTCAGTCAGCAGCATGTTCCACTGAGATTAGATGGTAGAGGTCAAGAAAAATAAGTAATCACTTACTAATTGCTTTGATCATACATTGCAACACATTCATTTTGTCATGTATTTCTCAGCCCTTGACCCTTCCTTATATCTAGCAATGACCAGCTTGTACTTTCTTTAGGTTTCCCTTTTAACTGTTTTTCTGTTACAGCCAGTTCTCAGTAATGGGAGAAAGGATGATGCTTAAGGATTGTTGCCCAGAAGTTTAGCATCCCTTTGAAACTAATTGCTGATAGTTGGTGTCAAGCAAATTTGTTATCCAGGGAAACACTAGAAAAATTATGGGCTTTTTAGTCTTTCACGGTGGCTTCCCAAAACAGTGTTTAACTTGTCTCAGGATTTAAAAAGAACACTCATTACTTGTTCCGTAGCTACTCTTTCATTAAGGTTATGTGTAGAAAATTTCAGCTGCTTGAGCCTAAGTTAGAGAGCTTCTGATGTAGGAGAGAAGTGTATCTAACAACCAAACATTTCTGTTACCAGTATGAACTTTGAACAGGGAGAAGAAAAAACTCTGTAAGGAATACATGCATCTTAGATGTATAGACTTTCAAGGATTAGGTTGTAGTATTTCAAGTTTGACAGTAGGAGGCATCTGCACATCAGATATTTCAGGAGGAACGGATGCAGAACCTGCAAGTCTTCAGCGGAATTTCAATAAAGGTAGCAGACATGGAAAATTTAATATAATTGCATTGGTTTAAATAGATATTTAAAGTCTCAGTGGGATAATGTAGTGTGTTTAACTATGGTGAATGTGGATTTTCAAATTACTAGTGTAAGAAGCATTTCTAGAAGTTTAGTGGTGACTTCCATCTGGGCAAATGAAGTTTATTATCCTTTACTGGCAAATTCTGCATGATTGATTTGGGTTATTTTGTTCTTTTAGCATGAAATCTTGCCCTAGTCTCCTAGCTTTTGACTGATTTGATGATTTTGGCCAAATATGTATTTTTAATGGCTGTTACTACTTGTTGGCTTATAGGGTACAAGTTCAAATAGATGTTTTGCATGCTTACTTCTGATCACATACTTAGGTGAATTTCACCAGGAATGGAGTTGTTGTTGTGGGTCTATACATTAGCAGAGTATGTCCATCAGTGTTTAGAGTTGGGTTAAAAATCTGACATTCAACACTTCTGGGAACTTTATGCCATGCAAGGCCAAAGTAAAATGAATTTATTCCCTTTCTCCTGTATATTTGGAAGTCTTTTGGCTTTCCACACTTATTTTACTTTTTTCCTTTGATTAATTACAAATTGCTGTTAGCACTGAGAACAAGCAAAAAAGCTCGTGTTAAAATATACAGATTATGTGTTAATGTCATTAAGTGTTACAGATCAGTGTTGCAGATGGGAAAAGGTTCTTGAATGCCTGTTACAGACTGATGTGTGGGACTCCTAAGCCTAGTGAAAGTTTCCAGACTGCTGGTTAGTGCGTGTTGAAAACAAACTGCTACTCACCTACTGCAATGGACATGCAACCAAAACTGCAGAATAAAGAGAAATTAAGTCTTCTGTAGGTTTAGTTCAATGCCCTGTGCCTTACATTAACTTTTTCTTTTTTTTTTAAAAAATGAAGTTGCTTGGTCTAGATGAATGCATATTAACCAGTTTGTGTTTTAGTTTGACAACTGCAAAATTAAGTCTCTGTTCATGTGACACAGTCAGGAGCAAAGAGGTAGATGTAAAGTATATTAGATGAAAAGGCAAGGAGTTCTCCTGTCTTGTTCATGCTATGTGTGAGGCTCCTTCTATGTGCACCAGCAGCTGAAGGCACAGATATTTCCACTGGGGGATTTAGGCTCAAACGGTGAGGAGCTGCAGATCAAGACAATCATGAATGGTGTTCATATCTTTTGAAAATGAGCAGGGGCCTCTTAAAATAGGTGTAAGATGGTTGTGAAAATGGACTGGATGTCATAGTGTGTATAGTAAGCTTTAAGAATGACTTCTTCAGATAAATGGATGTTTCAGATATTAATCTTTTTTTTTTTTGTTCATCTTGTGGTTAGCAAGCTGTCTTTATTATGATTTGAGTGTCTTCCAGTTACCTCAGGAAAGGTAAACCAGCCAGATAAAATTAATTGCTGTTGCAGGCTTAATTGTTTGCCTCTCAACAACTTTTCAAAATTAACTTTGAACTTCAGGAGGAAAAGATTATAGGCGGAAACTCATTTTAGAATGTTATTGGAGATAAACTCCGTTAAAGCTATCATTAATACTGTTTGTTTTTTTTCTCCTAATGTGCTCCCACTGACCTATGCTACATGACCTGCTTCTTCGCTGCCAAAGAGGGCTGTGAGGAGGGTTTTTATTTTCATGGCCATGTTAAATAGATGTTTAAAACAAACCAATGCTCTTGGAGTATGAAACTTTAGCCTTCAGTTTACATTGGCATTGCTAGCCAAATTCAGTTACGTAGGCTTTTTGATTTACATCGAATACATCAAAGGACTTAAATATCTTAATGTTAACCTGAAGTCACTTTTCTATTCAAATAAATGAATTCAAAAGCTAATCTCAGGGAAGAATCCAAACAATAATCAAATGTGTGGCAACAAAGCAGAGAGTAACAAGGCAAATTGTCCTAGTTCTTTGCCAGCTTGGTTTTAGTTGTTTGGCGTTTTTTTCCTAGTCGTAAAGCTTCCAAGTACTGAGGTTCTAGTGATTCCTCTGGGAAGTGGTATGGATACTTGCTTTCCTTGGATATTACTCAAACTGCTGCAGCGAGTAAAGATTTATATACAGTAAACGCTGCTTCTCCCCAGCACAGTCGGGAGCCCTGAAAGAATAGGGCTAAAGCTGTTGTGCCAGGTTCTGTGTCAGGCTGTTTCCTTTGTTTAATGGAGCGATGATGGTTTAAATATCAGGGTGCCGCTGGTAACTGGCAACACGGTTTTATTGGACTTGAGTCAAAAGCACCCAGAAGGGGGGGT